GGGTAATCCTAGACACAATATAATCATGATAAATAGGGTAACCCTTGACACACTATAATGATGATAAAATAGGATAAATATCCTAACAAAAACAATTTGTTTTACCCTTTGAACCTTGAACTGTATGTTTGAAAAATCCTTTGTGAAAATCTTTACCTTTAGTTACGTTGAGAACATTTGTGAGGTATTGATAAAAGTTCAAGTTTGGGGTTGCTGGAAAGACTGGGAAAGTAAAAAGAAAAAAAAAGCATTGAGCTAAGCAATGATTACTTGAAAAGAAAAAGCAAAGAAAAAGAAAAATGAAAAGAAAAGAAAAGCTCAATGCAAGGGAAAGCTGGGAAAAGAAAGTAAGTTTGTGTGCTTGAATGAGGATATCACAAATGTCTCTCTTAACTTAAGGATTTTGCTGACCAGAAAAACCAATTTCCTTCTTAGCCCAGCCAAGTTACAAGCCATGAAAAACCCTTGTGATAAAAACTTACTTGTGAGTATGTTTGATTATGGTTAACTGAAAGGCAAAGTTAATTTGTGTGACATTGTGATAGTAGAGTGAAAAAGACACCAACACTTCACTATACACCTGTGAGTAGAGTGATACCCTTTTGAGTGCATGAGTGAAACATTTTCCTTGGTGAGGAGTAGTTCTTTGAATTTCTGATTGCATCTTCGCTTGGTTGATTGATCATTCTTAAGGATAGCATCTGTTGAAATATATGAGCATCACATTTATTGTGATTGAATTAAGGCATCTGCACATCTTGACTGATATTTGTAGGCTGAGTTGACAAAAATAATTGATTGTCCGAAAGAATTTTTTTTTGAAAAAGGTTGAGTCATTGTAGTGATTGTTCTGAAAAGCTGAGTTAAAATCTGTTTTTCTTGAGGACAAGCAAAGTTCTAAGTTTAGGATTGTGATAATGGTTAAAAATACCGTTATTTGTTATGTAATTTTGATACTAAATACACACTTTTTTTGCTTAAAAACTTGCTTGGAATCATGTTTTTCTGTTAAGTTGTGTGAATAAGAGAGTTCAGGTTGGATTTAAAGGTTTTATGACTAATTCTCCTTGTTTTGGTAAAAAAATGAGATAATATGGAAAACAGGGATAAAGTGCTAAGGAGATGAAGCTCAGAAAGGCCTGAAAAAGCACTAGAAGGGAGGGATCCTCAAAGCTTGGGCGCCCTTTTAGGAGGCTTGAGTGCAGAAGAGTGTCGCTCACCGCCCGGGCGCCCTTTTTGGGGCACTTGAGCGCTAGGTGTACGAAGCTTGGGCGTCATTTCTGAGGCTTGGGCGTAGAAGACCATTGCTCACCGTTCGGGCGCCCCTTTTGGGGCGCTTGAGCGGTGGAGGCTCGAAGCTTAGGCGTCCTCTGTAAGGCTTGAGCGTGAAGGACCATCGCTCACGGCTCGGGTGCCCCTTTTGGGGCGCTTGAGCGGCGGAGGCTCGAAGCTTGGGCGTCCTCTGCAAGGCTTGAGCATGAAGGACCACCGCTTGCCGCCCGAGCGCCCTAAGTGGGGCGCTTAAGGACATGCTTATTCACTGAGGGATCGGGTTTAGGTAATTTAGTGAGTGACGTTAACATTAATGCATAAAGAAGAATTATTACATACATGACAGGGAACTTGGTGAAATCTAACCCCAACAACATACTCATCTCATATTAAATAACATCCATTTATCATCGTGCTTTTCTGTTATTGATAAACTTGCAATCATATTTAATTTTATGTCTTTGCATTTGAAACCAACAATCTCGTTTTCTTTAAGTCTTAATTAATCGAGTTGTCACACGACTGTCTAGTGCCGAGAGTCCTCTGGGATACGATATTTGGTCTTACCATTTTATATTACTTGTGCGATTTGGTACACTTGCCAATCCATCAACACCCATCATTACCCATCTTCAATACTCCAAAATCACTAGGTGTATAAGATGTAAAGAACTCCTTCCTGGATGTAACATGCAGTGTAGCACCACTATTAATTATCCACATGCTCTCATCAGATACAAGATTAATAATGTCATAATCACAAAGACAAACAAGGTCACCACATGTAGTAGTAGTAACACAATCACTATCATCATTATCTCTTTCTCTTTGCTTACCCTTTTTGTCTTTGCTCTCTTTCTTTCACAAAATATAGTTCTTCTTTATGTGCTTTATTTTGTTACAATAGTGACACTCCACATTCTTGTACTGAGACCTAGACTTTCTCCTGCTTTTATCTCTACCACTATTTTTTTCTTTCTTTTAGCTTTTCCCCCTATTCTCTGTAATAAGCACTTGTGAATGAGATGTAGTACCTTATGTCTTACTTCTCATCTCCTCATTAAGTGCACCACTCTTTTCCATTTACAAAGAAATATCACCATTAGGGGTAACACTTATCATGGAAACCTGAAATGTCTCCCACGAATTCGGTAAAGAGTTTAATAGGAATAAATCCAATAGATCATCATCAAATTTTATACCCACTCCTGCTAATTAATCATAGCGTCCTTGAAATTCACTCAAGCGATTTGAAATAGGAGTCCTTTCCTTGTACTTCAACTCCACAAAATTTTTCAGCAAGTATAATTTATTAGTCCCTGACTTAGAAGCATACAAGGACTCAAGCTTATCCCATAGGCTTCTCGCATGTGTATCATTAGCAACAAAATTATAAACATTATCATCAACAAACTGTATGATAAATTCACATACCTGTTGATCTTCAAAATCCCATTCTTCATCTAACTTGGATTCCAGGTTAGTGGAAACAAAAACAGGAAGATACAATTTTTTCACAAATAGCAAGTCCTTCATCTTGCCTTTCCATAAGTGATAATTTTCTCCATTCAAAAGAATTAATTTTGTATGTGACTTCATCATTCACGCAAACTAAACAGTTCCTTAATCAAAGAGCTTTGATTCCACTTTGATGTGGAAAGGGCAAAAAATATAACAACTTAGCAAAGACTAATAATGCAACGAAAATTCAATCCCTTTTCTTGCGAGAATCTGTGAGGAACACCAAACAAATAGAATCCAAAGCACAAAGAGACACCAATAAGTTTTAACGTGGAAAACCTCTCAATGCAAGGGTAAAACTCACGAGTCGTCTAAACAAAAAAAAATCCACTATGATCAATAATAGGGTACAAAAGAGTCTCCAATAATAATTCCAAATGGTATTTTTAATAAGCCAATTTAACTAAGCACAAATGCTTACAAATGAGAATAAAGAAGATGAAAATTCTTCAAAATAGGGCTGCTGGTGCGGGACTGAATGGTCCATATTATTTGGATCTATTCTTCACATAGGAAGAGAGTCCAATAACTCAAAAAAAAAATAAGTTTTATTAAATTATGAGACTATAAACACCTATGAATAATTAATCTAATATTGAAATTACAATAGCTAGAAATCACATATTACATTTCAGAATTTATTACAGTATTGTTGGTAATGAGAATAATAGAGTTTCAATTCACCACTATATATATTGAAATTGTTTTTCAATTAAAAATATCATGACAATTTTAATTATCATTTATTTAAAATGTTAAAATGTCACTGTATTGAATGCTCGTTGTCACTGTTATTTTATATTTTTTTGATAATAAGATTTATGACGGTATGTGAAACCATAAAACAGTATGTGAAACCACCATTACAAATATATTGGCCTTTGTAAGTCATGATATATAAAAAAATAACCATCATGGAAAACAAAGGTAAGAAAATAGTAATTAATGGTCCCATGAACATTTTTGTGGGATTAAAGAAAAAGCGTTGGAACTAATGATTTAAGAAGAAACATGACAATTAGTTTTAGATAATAATTGAAGAGATAGAAACTTTAAATTTCATAATTGAATTATGTCGTGTTTGTAGTGAGTGACTGACTCCTAAATCAATGTAAGTGGTTATATAGCAACGTATATGATGGGGTAGAAAGATTATAGTCTAAGTGGTAGATACCACTTATATTGTTACTTTAAATCAAATAAAACTTTTCAAGGATATTTTCTTTAACCACGATTAGATTAGTTCTCTAAATGCTTTTCTTGAAAAAAAAAAAAAAACTATAAACTTTAAAAGAGAAAGAAGTAACAATAAAAAGAACTTATAATAAAAGTATACATAAAATTGTAACAAAAATTGTAAATAGAAAGAGTATGACTTCTAAAAGAGATTATAAAAAATTGAAGTTGTCCGTATAAAATATGACTCAAAAATTAAAAGCCGTGACTTTAAAAGACAGACTTCATCTTCTTTAACAATTTGAAGTCGTGTTTGAAAAATATAATTTTTTTATTTTAAAATCGTATTATAGCAACATGATTTATTTATTTTTGTAAATTTTTTAAATTTTATTAATATCATTATATTTGATAAAAATAATTACACTATTTTCATTAAAAAAATCCAAGCATTCGCTATAACTGATGACTCACCCATAGCTTGAAAAATGCATTTTAAACAGAAAAATAAAACTGAAAATTAAAGCCATGAAGTAGAAAAATCAAGTCCACAGCGTAAGTAAAAGGTTAGAAAACGAAAGTTTGCGTGAGAGATGCGTTGTTGAAGTTTAAAGTTGGATTCCACAACACAATGGAAGCATCACTTTGCGCATATTTTGTTTTGAATTTGGGTATAAATATCGATCATCTTCATTAACAAATATCGATCATCTTCATTAGAAGTAATGGAGTTATGGATGAGATGGTTCCTTCTCTTTTTACTTTTTCACTTTTCATCCTCTCATTCCTTATGCCATCCTTATGACACTTTTCTCTTGCATCAATTCAAAGACTCTTTTACTATTGTTACTTATGATGATTGTTATTATCCAAAGACAGCAACGTGGAAAAATGGAACAGATTGTTGCTCTTGGGACGGAGTCACCTGTCACCCCATCTCCGGTCATGTGATCGGTCTCAACCTTGCCTACAGTGGGCTTTATGGCCAAATCCATCCAAACAGTACACTTTTCCTTCTTTCTCATCTCGAATCACTCAACCTTGCTTTCAACCCTTTCTATCAATCCCATTTTTCATTTCTTTTTGGTAGCTTTGCCCGCCTCACACACCTTAACTTATCTGGTTCTGACTTCCAAGGTGAAATTCCTTCCCAAATCTCACACCTTACAAAACTAGCCTCCCTCGATATTTCTCTTAACCCTGATTTAAAGTGGAAAGAAGGCCCTTGGAAGAGACTACTCCAAAATGCAACAGATCTCGAAGAGCTTGTTCTGGATGAAACAGACATGTCTTCAATTTCAATCAAGATTCTCAATTTGTCTTCTTCCTTAGTCATTCTTAGTCTTCCAGAGACTCAGCTAAGAGAAAACTTGACATATGGTATCTTTTGTTTACCAAATCTTCAACACCTCGATCTTTCATATAATCTGTACCTTCAAACACACCTTCCAAAAATTGGTTGTAGCACTACTCTTAATATCTTAGATCTTTCATATTCTGACTTGCAAGGGTCAATTCCTCCCTCCTTCTCTTACCTCTCACATCTTACTTCCCTAGACCTCTCATCTAACTCTCTTGTGTATTCAATTCCTCCCTCCTTCTCTAACCTCTCACATCTTACTTTCCTAGACCTCTCATCTAACTCTCTTGTGGATTCAATCCCATCCTCACTCCTAACCCTTCCACGTCTCTCTTTTCTCAATCTCAATGGTAATAATCTTAGTGGTCAAATCCCAAATGTCTTTGCTCAGGCAAACAAATTTAAAGAATTGGATTTCGCTGGTAACAACTTAGGAGGTGAGCTGCCATCAACACTTTCAAATCTTCAACATCTCACTCTCTTGGATCTTTCGATAAATAAATTCAGTGGTCAAATCCCAGACGTGTTTGTCGGGCTAACCAAATTGTCAGCTCTTTATCTTTCGCATAACAATTTTGAAGGAAAAATCCCATCTTCATTGTTTGACTTAACTCAACTTTCTGAACTGATAGTTTCTTTTAATAAATTACAAAGTCCTTTGCCCAACAGAATAACAGGATTTTCAAGTCTAATTAGCTTATCATTTGATAACAACTTGCTGAATGGGACAATTCCTTCATGGTGTTTATCTTTGTCATCTTTGGTGAATTTAGATTTGTCAACAAATAAGTTCACGGGGCTTCTAAGTGCAGACTCATCATATTCCTTGGAGACTATAAATTTGTCCCACAACAAGCTACAAGGTAATATTCCAGAAACAATTTTCAGTCTTGTAAATCTTACTTACTTAGATCTATCATCAAACAACTTAAGTGGATATGTTCACTTTCCACTTTTCTCTAAGCTTCAAAATTTGGAAAATCTTAATCTTTCCAATCAGTTTTTCCTTAATTTTGAATCCAATGTCAACTGTAATTTTTCCTCGTTAGAGAGTTTGGACTTATCTTCTACGAGTTTAACTGAATTTCCAAAGTTATCAGGAAAAGTACCAATATTACAAATTCTCTATTTATCCAATAACAAAATCAAAGGAAAAATTCCCAATTGGTTACCCAAAATTAGCTCATTATCTATGTTGGACCTCTCTCACAACCAATTGGAGCAATCACTGGACCAATTTTCATGGAACCAAAATCTCCGTTATCTTGATTTTAGTTTTAACAAAATCACTGGTGGTTTCTCTTCCTCAATTTGTAATGTAAGTTCAATTGAGTATCTCAAGTTGTCACACAACAAGTTGTCGGGCATCATTCCAGAATGTCTTGCTAACTCATCATCCCTTCTAGTTTTGGATCTACAACAGAACAAACTTCATGGCACTTTGCCAAATAGCTTTTCAAAGAACTGTTGGCTCGGAATTCTGAATCTCAATCACAACCAATTAAAAGGTTCTTTGCCAGAATCTATGTCCAATTGCAGTACTCTGGCGCGTTTAGATCTTGCCAACAATCAATTAGAAGGTACCTTTCCTCATTGGCTTCAAGGTCTATCACAGTTAAGATTATTGGTTTTGCGAGGCAATAAGTTTCATGGCCCCATTGAAAATTCAAAGACCAAACATGGATTTGCCAATTTAGTTATACTTGATATCTCTTCCAACAACTTCAGCGGCCCAATTCCAGAAGACTACATACAAAGTTTTGAATCCATGAAGAATGTTGTTCAAGATGACAATGAGGAATACATCATAATTTATGGTTATGATTCTTTGACTATAACAACAAAATCAATCGTTGTTACGATGGAGAAAATTCGGACAGACTTTGTAACCATTGATTTATCAGAAAACAGATTTGAAGGAGAGGTTCCAAACGTGATTGGAGAACTTCATGCTCTTAGAACGCTCAACCTTTCTTATAACATACTTAGTGGTCCTATTCCCCAATCCCTGGGAAATTTGACGAACTTAGAATCGCTAGATCTGTCCTCAAATATGCTTACTGGTATGATTCCTAAAGAACTAACCAATTTGAATTTTCTGGAGGTTCTGAATCTTTCCAATAATCATATTGTGGGAGCAATACCTCAAGGAAAACAATTCAATACATTTTCCAACGATTCCTACAAGGGAAACTCTGGGTTATGTGGGTTTCCATTGACAAAAAAATGCAGCAAGGACATTGAACAACATTCTCCACCTTCAGTGCCCTTTAAGAGAGAGCATGGATATGGATTTGGATGGAAACCGGTTGCTATAGGATATGGATGTGGAATGATATTTGGAATGGGAATGGGATGTTGTGTCTTATTAATAGGAAAGCCTCAATGGCTTGTGAGAATGGTTGCATGACTTGAGATTGTCTTGTTTCAAATTCAATTATACCTTATCACTTTGAATTGAATGGGAGATTTGATTCAAAATTTAGTTTTAATATGAATGTGTTGTATGTAAACCGTGGATATTTGATTCAAATATATCTAGTATGAGTGTATTGCATCTAATTATTTTTTTGGTTGAAGAGTGTCATGATGCACTTCTTTTCTGTTGAGTTACCAAATTCGTTTCTTTAGCATATTTTCATATTAGTTATATATTAATAGTCGTTGTACTCTTAAATAATATACAAATGTTTTAAAAAGTTTTAAAACTAAGTTTATTTTGAAGTTTTGTATTTCTCTACTTATTTAATGTTATTTTTATTAAAAAGTTTATAACGTGACTTCTTGTACTATCTAATTTTATTCTTCCAAAATTGTGTTCATATTAATACAAATAATTACATTAATCAATATTATTTTAAAGTTATTAAAAAAAATTGTGTATTGCGTGAACTAAATAGTATATGGAGTTCATAAAAGATATTGAATTTATCATACATAAGCCCATCCTTTCATTTTTAGATATGAAATACCGTTGAGTTAGATAATGGTTTCCCATATCCATCCAATTTCAAATTCATGAAACCATCCTTCTCATTTGTACTGTACTCTTTCAATTAAATTTATTCGTCAAATTCTTCTTACAGTTTTATCACGTGAGTTCATTCATTATGACATTTTGTTTTATTTTTGTGTCATAATATAAATATTTGAAATGAAATTAGATGTACAAAAATTACATAATTAGAATCTCGACGGCTAAAATTGCAAAATTAAAAAAGGCCCATCTAAATATTTACAATAATAATTAAGATAAAAAAATTACAATTATAATGGTCAAAACAAAAATCTATGTCCTATTTTTTCAGAATTCTGGAGTGATGAGAATAATGTTTGGAGTAGAAAAATGATAATTACTATAACATATTGATTGAAGAGATAGAACTCAGATTTCTTAGTTGAAAAATAAAAGCATCTATGTCTATTTGTAGTCACTGAATTCCTTGTCAATATTCCATTAGTACTTTAAATCAAATAAACTTTTTTGGTAAGAAATTTTCCTCATAATGAGAGTAGTTGTCATATATACCACCCAATAAACTATTTAATATATATATATATATATATATATATATATATAAAATAAAAACAAGAATTATCGACAAAGTTATAATAGATGATTATGACGGTCTTTCGATGATCAAAAATCTATAAGTAAATCCTTTGTTGGAAAACATTATCGATGGACGTATTCATCAGTAAGTATCAATGGTCAGTATCCGTTGATAGTTGTCGATGATTTTTATCTCTCGATAATTACTGACCGATTTTGACTATCGATAATTACCAAAGGACAAAAATTGACGATAATGAAGTGCAAAACAGAAGGACATTGTCGATGGCAATAGACCTTCAATAATTACCAAAAGAAAAAAATCGTTGGTAATACCATGACTATGTTTGTATTACCGACGACCATTATTCGTTAGTAAGGTCGCAGGTAATGACCAAACTAGTTTTACAATGCATTTTGAACTATGCCTTATCCATACCAAATGAACTTGTAAATAAGCAATCAATATTAACCCAATTCTCAATTCAGTTATCCAATTCATCAAATGTAAGTTTTGAAAATAAGAAACATTACATCAATGTTTTAAAAAGTTCCTAAATGATTAATATTCATTATAATCATCATCATCTTCTTGCCGACGCAGTTGTTGGGGAGGTGGTTATTGGTCGACAGATGGCTCATGGGGTGGGCTACATCGGTGGGTGTGGCTGTTGATTGATATGCTCATGAATGTAGATTTGTACCATACGAATTATATGCTCATGTGTATTGATTGATCTCTAGAGTGCAGTACACCACCTTTTTCTGAAGCCTTATTTATTTCTCTAGGCGGTAGCATATTTATTGCAATAGTCTAGCGAATTCCAATGTGCTAGCAATGAGTTCCATATGTGTTCTCCTACCCAATAAGGGTGTTCTGCGATCCTTGCACCTCTAAACATTTGTAACAGTACTTGAGATGCTTTGCTGCAGAAGCTTTTCTTAATTTGAGCTTCATGCTCAGTTGTCCACTGCAGCTTTTGTTGTTACAATAGATAATGTTAAAATAAAGGAGATTAAATTCATATTTGAAATGAATACAACATGATTAAGTAACATGATGTTTTACCCTAACTCTCTGCCATAAAGGTTCCTTGTCCTCTACAGGGACTGCTCTCCATGATGGCCAAGGTTGAAGAAATTGTTGCTTAATAAACCTAGTAATGGCCTGTGAAGCAATTCTAGAAGGAACAAACCTGAAGTATGAATGCATGAAAGTTATGAATCTACAAGCATAGTAAAACAAAGAATTTATGCAAATAATGACTAAGAAGAAGATGTGGTATTACCCTTTTCCATAACTTTCAATGAAAGGTCGATCATGAGGATCATGATCAATCATATCAATAGGATCATCAGATGTTGATGTACATTGTAAGACCCGAGAAAATTTAGAGTTTATAAATAAGACTTAAGTATGCTTTATTAAATTTTGCATGAGTTCAAAGGTGTTGTGTAGCTGAGTTGGTGTGCAAGTCTTGAGTAAACCATAAAGTTCTATGTTATTTTTTTTTTTATAATAGTGTAACATATGTTATTGTATGGTTGTTAAATTTGTGATGTGTTATATTTTTAATGTGATGTGTTAGCTTGTTGGTAGAGATGATTGTTTAGGATTGAATGAATTTGAGTTCAAATCCTAAAGAAAGGTTTATGTGAAACCTTTGTTGAAGTTGAAAATTAGAAGAGAAAAAACTAGAAGAAAGAGAAAGGGAGTGTAGAGAGATAGCTACGTAAAAATAGAGAGAAAGGAAAAGAGAGCACGGTAAGATAAAAAGATTCCAGAGGAGAAAAATATTTTTGAAAAGATAGCAAACGTCTTGATTGATTGATCTTTATTCATAATTGACTAAGGTATGAGAAACTTATTTTTATTTTATTGTATGAAGAATTTGGATATATCTTTTATTTTCTTTGGAAACATGAGAAACTTACATTTGTTATCTTATTTGATTATGTGATGAATGTCAATATATTCTTGAATTGTTTGGATGATTCGATGTTTGTTTGTGTTTTGATTAAATGGTTCTTGAATTTTGGTAGGCTTTTTTAAGTATGAGACCGATAAATATTAGTTTACCCTTCTTTTTGAGTTTACAATTCCATCACACATCACATTGATTTCTTTTTAAATACATCTATAAGTCTCGCAACATTAAAGAGGGAAACCTGTTGTTTAATTGACGCTGCAGCCAAGGCCAATGGGGGTCGAGTCTTATAAAATTCTGGAGAGAAAAAATTTTATGAGAAATAAATTTCCCTAGGTTTTCTTCCTTTTATTTACTTTTCCCTTAAAAGAAAAAGGATTTATTCACGTTAGGTTTTTGTTCCTGTTTACTTTTTAATTAAACATAAAATAAAAATAGTTTTAATAAATAACTACATCTGAAACGTAAAGATGCTATCTTAAATTTCTCTTAGTAAATAATATTTTTCTTAATACTAAAATCCTAATTGAATAATTAGAATGAAACCTTAAATTGGAATTTCTGGTGAGAATCTTTCCCCATTTTTATTCTCGCTGACAACCTAACCAAGTATGGGTTCTTCTTTCTCGCGGTCAACCCAAATCCTGGGTGTCACCCTTGTCTCGACCTATGACAGAAGTCTCGTGTCGGCAAAGACGACGTAGTTGCGAAAGCGCGGTGGAGGCGGCAGAGGACCGGCAGAGACACGGCGATGGCGCAATGGCGTGTGGTCTTCTTCTTTTCCTCTTTTCTCGTGCTGGTTAGCGTCGACAGGGAGAAAGCTTCTTCTGTCTTCTCTTTTGTTCTGGCCTACGCGTTCTGTGGCTAGGGCACAAACTTTTGCTCGCGGTGGGATGAGGATTGCAGTGGCAGAGACGCGACTATGGTGCGACGAGGGCGCGGGGACTGCACGGGGACGTGGTCATTCTGGTTCTTCTCGATTTTCTTCGTGCTGGCTCACGGAAAGGATCTCTGTTGACGGTGGCTGGCAAAGGCAGCGGCGATCGTTGCGAGGGATACCGGCGACGACAGCGGATTGAATTGCGGCCTTAATCTTACAGTTTTTTATCTTGGTTATTTGATTTTGAAATTTGAGATGGCGATTTGGGTTTCCTGATTATTGCGAAATTGGGTATTCTTTGTAATATTCTCTGTAGGTCTGGGTTTCACTAATTGGGGTTAGGGTCATACTGAGAAGGTTAGGTTCTGAATTGGGAAAATATTTTTGGGTTCTGATGCTCGTTGTCTCTGCCTGTGGTGGTTGCTTCAGTAGAGCAACCATGGGTGGTCACGGTGATGTTGCGGCTAGAGCTTTGCGCTGACAATTTCTTAAGTTGGGTCTGGAGACCAGCATGGTTTTCTGGTTGGACTAACAGTTTTAGGTTGAAGGGTTACTCCTACACCTCTCGGTACTGTTGCTGCACCACTACATTTTTATTAAATTCTAAAACTATTGTTTATATTTTAAAATATTTTATAGTTTTACCTTTTTCTTGAAGAGATGTCTGTGCCACATTCGTATTCAGGTTTTTTTATTTTTTTATTTTTTATTTTCAATTTTTAGTTTATTAAATTTTTTTTAAATTAATATATAAATATTATTTAACTTTTTCTAAATTTATTAGGTAATTATATATAAATTAATTTTATTTAATTTAATAAAATAATTATTATTAATTTAATTTATGTATTATTATTTAAATAATTATTTAAATATTTTTTATAAATTTATTTATACAGATGGATGAGACATGGTTGAGGTTTTCTTTTCTTTTTAATTTTTAATTTATTAATTTATTATATTTTAAATTAATATATAAATATTATTTAATTTTTTAAAATTTATCATGTAATTATGTAACACTTCAAAAAATTAACATCTCACACACAAAATTATTTC